CCCTCCCAGGGGAATGGACAACAGAAAAGTGAGTGAAGGGAGACATCGGTCAATGTAAGACATGAAAAAATAATACTTTATAAATGTTTTGAAAATGATGATGGCAGCAAATGTACAAATGTGCTTGACACATGGATGTGTGTATGGATTGTGATAAGAGTTGTACGAGCCCCCAATAAAATGATTTTAAAAAATGGATTGACACAGTGGCTACAACAATGAGGAAAAAAAGTGAAATAAGGGAGTATTTGTCAGAACAACACACATTACTTTTAGGTGTATCAAAATGGATTTCTTCTAGGTAATGTTAAAAGAAAAACAAAATATACTACAAATTATTTTTAAAATCAAGAATTTAAATTCTATTTCAGTCAATGTGTTACTTCTTTTTACTACTTTCTAATAAAGTCTGCAAACAGTCTTGATCTCACACCAGTCTTCACTCAGTCTAAAGCTCATGGCAGTACATACTTCACCCATATTCACTTTCACCATGCAGTCCCTTGCATGCTTAATGATCCTATAAACTTAGACATGGGAAGCACACTACCTCCCGAATTCTGAATACTAAATTAGTAAACTATATATTTAAGTTGAGTTAAGCTGGTATAGTAATAAACAACCCTCAAATTTCAGTAGTTTAAATTAGTAGAGATACATTTTTCTGCTGATGTTACATTTCCTTCATTGGTAGGCACTAAGGAATCCAGGTTGATGGATAAGTCGATCTATCTCAAAAGATGTCTAGGTATTGAAAGAAAGAAAAGGAAAAGCTGATGGGTGTGACTTCCCCTCACAACTTATTGACTAGAACTAATGCCCTGGCCCTACACTGCAATTATCCAAGACCTCAGAAGGCAGAGAAACAGAAATACCACATCTTTCATTCATATGGTCCAAATGGATTGATAACAAAACCATGTTAACAACTCTTGGCATAGCTTTTGCTTAAACCTACACATGCCAGTTACCATGTGAAATACAGGTCTACCTTATTTTATCGTTTTGTTTTATTGTGCTTTCCAGAAATTGCATTTAAAAAAAAAATAAATGGAAGGTTTGTAAGCAAATCTGTGTCACACATGCCTACTGACTCAATTTTTCAACAGCACATGTTTACTTTGTGTCTATTTCTGCAAAATGTCTCTTGGCACATTTTGGTAATTTTCTCAATATTTCAAACTTTTTCATAAAGCTATTGCACCTTTAATAGACTAAAGAATGACACAAACATAACTTTCATACACAGTGGGCAACCAAAAACAGTCACATGACCTGCTTAATTTTGTTATTTGCTTCATTGCAGTGGTTGAGAACTGAACTTGCAAATATCTCTAAGGTATGCCTATTACCTTCAAATTTACAGTAACCATTATCCAAACTTTATCAATGATGTCAAAACTAAGTAATCAGATGATTGTGCTTTCTATGAAGATTGAAGTCATCTGACATAAATACACTCAACCTCAAATATTCCTATAAGAAATATAAATAGCAAGGAGCCTCGGAGGTATCTGTGCGTTAGGTGTTGCGCAGCTAACTGGAAGGTTGAAGTAAGGTTCAAACCCACCAGCTAATCCAAGGGAGAAAGCTATCCTTGTGAAGATTTCGTCTCAGAAACCCTCGATCAGGTCTCAAATGTAGGAACTGACAATGGTAGTGGGCATACCCCTTTTGCTCACACTGCCTTCTATCACAGATCTCTCATTTTTGATTAACTACTCTCAAAATAAAGACTAAAAAAAAAAAAA